TCTCAATAATTCTACTTCTAACTCCTCTACTCTTACTTTCGGGGTACCTCAGGGTTCTATCCTTGGCCCTCTTCTATTTATACTCTATACTTCTGAACTACCTCGTATTATTAATAACTTTTCTTTCTCTAGTCAACTATATGCTGATGATTCTTATATTTATACTTCTTTTCCTCCATCTAATCTCAATAGTGTTCTTCATAATTTATCTCTATGTCTTTCTTCAATTATCGCTTGGTCTGACTCTATGTGTCTTAAACTTAATCCTTCTAAGTTTGAATTAATTTGTTTTAATAAATCTAAACACTCTATTACTATTCCTCCTATTATCTTACCTGATTCTAAAACTCTTGATGTCTCTCATAAGTTTCGTAGTCTAGGTTTTATCTTTGATTCTACTATGTCTCTCTCTTCTCAGATTAATAGTGTTGCTAGAAGCTCTTACTTTCATCTACGTAGAATAAAAAAACTTTTGCCTTTTCTTGATGATCCTACTCTTCTCCTTCTTGTTACTTCGTTAGTCTTATCTAGGATTGATTATTGTAACTCGCTCTACTATGGTCTTCCTGACTCTATACTCTATCCTTTAACTAAAGCTTTTAACTCTGCTGCTCGTCTAGTAGCTCGTGCCCCTTTCTTTTCTCATATATCTCCATATCTTGTTCTCTTGCACTGGCTACCTATAAAATATAGAATAATTTTTAAAATTTGCACGTTCATGTATAAGTCTCAATCTAAATTATTTCCTAAGTATTTATCAGATATATTAATTGAACTTAAACGCCCCGGTTTACGATCGTCTTCTTCTTCTCGCTTTTTCTGAACTCGTGTTAAACACTCTTTTGCCAAATCTGCTTTTGCTTTTTCTGGTCCTTTTCTCTGGAACTCTCTACCTACTTCTCTGACTACTTCTCCATCACTTGCGAAGTTCAGAGAACTATTTGTAATTTAATTTGGACATGATATTTTCATATAAATAACAAAACAGAAGTATCGTCTAATAATTAAATTTTTGTTTGGCGCATCGCCACAAATTCTCCACTCCATTTGTATGCACTCCGTTTGCGGCCCGGGATGTAATGGAGTGATTTACGGTTTGGTGGGCTAGACCGGTTACGGCTGTTATACTGTTATAAGCAGCCCATTGATCCGTCCAAACTGTTGTACCTAAAATTATTAAAATCGAACTATATTTCATAACCAACAAAAATGAATTTAAAAATATTAAACTTTATGAAACCAACCGGGCAGAACATGTCGCTGTATCAATGGCAAAAGCGTGGCAGCATCTCGTTTATTTACTTCCACCAGAAAGGCATCTTTTGTTTGCGTATCGATGCCTCCAAAAACCCAGCGTGTCCTAACTGGACGTGCATTTCGGTTTCTCGATCATTTTGCAGATGAAATGCAGCTTTCATCTATCTGAACGATGTGTCCGGGGCTACCTATTCGTGCAGGGTTATCACGAGCCCAGTCAATGCATAGATCTCGATGTAAATTGAACCAGTCAGGTAAAGTTTGCCCGACGTCCGAATCTAAATTCGACGCAACCGTAGCCTGGCTAACGTCGTACATAGACAAGAAATACGTCATGTAAAAGATTACACAGCTTAACTATTACATTTAAATTTAATTTAAATTTTTTTTATATTTTATTTTAATATATTTTATTTATATTCAATTTATATATATATGACCTTATTTTATTTGGCATCTAAATAATTAATAAACATTTTAAAATATAAGATAATATATTTGTTAAATAATTTACAATAAAATTACAATAAAATGAAGCGCATCGGTTGGTCATGAATATTAATGACGGGCGGAGCCAAATTTAAAGTTTTCAATATTATTCTATGTAAACAACAGGAAGCGTGGTTTTATACTTATTTACCTATCCTAAAACAGTATCACTTTTCAAAACATTTTAAATAAAAGCAATATTCGTAATTTTAGACTTGGGCGATAAAAAATCATTCTCCAATTTTCCTCCGGAAATAAGCTCCTTGCTCGACCGTCAAAAATGAGCGAAGGCCGTTATATTTATTCTAATTGCGTTCGCACTTAATAGTTTTTTACAACTGATGAACATCGAGCTAATTTCAGATGCCAGACATGTCATGCTTCTCCACTATCGCAATGTAAACGAATGAAATCGTCATTTTTGAAGACGAGGCAAAATTCTAATTTATTGCCAAATGTTATATTTTTAAAAAATTAAAAAAGTTTTTTAACAAATGTGAGGTTTTATTTTCAAATGTTTTTTTCATTTTGGACGATAGTTGTACTAGTCTTTGTAAGCGTTGCACTAATTTCCGTCAGTTACGTTGGGGACTATCTCCTATTACCTTCGAACTATTTCAGCCAGATTGACAGGAGATTAGTTAGATGTTTTTTCGACTCTGCAATGCACGCTTCAGTGGCAGGGATGTCCTGGTTTCTTGTTATATATCCCCAACACCCCGTCCAACGACAACAACAACAGTTCAATGATTTGATCTTTTTTGGTTATGGTAATATGGTTGCCGTGGCTGCTGAAGTTTTGCTGTGTGCCGCCATTTCGTCACTAATCGATCTTGATCATTTTTTGGAGGCCAGCTCTTTCAGTTTGGATGTTAGTTGCTTGTTGTTGAACTTATAAAATAAATAACATTAACTAACTCTTAATTTTATAATCTGTATTATCAACAAATAAAATCAATTAGCTACTTTATTTTATAAACTATTTATTATATTTTTTAAATTTTCCTAAAAACAGAAAGCCTTATCACTCAGTAGACGACCGCCATTACACAACACATCAGTCATCGTCCTAACTTCAATTGTCCTACTCCTGATTTCAAGGTTCACTGACATAAGGTTCCTAAAAGTACTACCTTTCCTCTTCCTGATATCAACTTTAACTCATCATTTAAGAGATGGTACTAGAAGGGGCCTGTGGATAGCACCTTTTGGCTCTACTCCAGCACTTAATTATAACATCTATCTAATTTCAATTTTCATTCTTGTTATTTTAGTTAGATATTTACTTAAAGCCTTTTCTACTGTTGATGTTGTTAGCAATTTGAATGGTAGTTTATTAAATGTTTAGAACCATTTTGGCTCCTTTAGGAAATTTAATTCAATTTCATTCCTTTTTATTTATGAAATTATTTAATTTATTTTAAAATGAATTTGTTTTACTGCATTTTATTATTTTGAGTGTTTTCTCAACTTAACTGGTTAATTACATTACATTTATAATATATAAATATAGATAACATTAACTATGTATTTGTATATTTATTATGTCTTGTACTTACTTACATCAACATTTTGAAAATTACATCAACTAATTACATTTTATTTACATGCAACTCAAGGTTACATTAAGATACTTTCGCATTGAATCTCAATCTAATTGTTTCTCTGGGCCAATTTATTCATTCAATTTTTATTTGTCGTTAAATAACTTAAAATGAGTTATGGATTCACTTTTAAATTAATTTTCTGAATGAATTTAATTCTAATTAGCACTTGATTCCCAGACGATAGATTATTTATATTTCAATTCCTCTTTTGTATCAAAAACGCCCAAAGATGGTCCTAGCAATCAGAAGATGCAAACAATCAGTACTGATATGAGATACGTCATTTCACCTTACATGTCTTCAACTAATACTGTTAAACCCAGTGGAAAGCTACGACTATGGGCTATATAAATTGATTGCCGATTGAATGATTGATTGAGAGATTGATTGAATAATGCCTGTTTGATTGATTGATTGAAAGATAAGAAACGAAGAGGTAGATAATTACAAAGACAAATTTATTATTAACCATGAAAAAAATTATTACAGTACGACTGTGCAATAAATACGTAATTATTATATAAAGTAAGAACATACAATACATACGTACAATATATATTGTATATACATACACATATATGTATACATAGTATATACATGCATATATGTATGTATAGTATATATATGTAGTTAGAATTAATGAAACATAGGTGAAAATAAAAATCAACGAAACTAAGTAGTTTATACTTGCTACAAAGTGAAACCTTACGTGCGATCTAATGAATGAATGGATGTGTGAATGAATGAATGGATATGTGAATGAATGAAAGAAGTTTTAAATGAAAGAATGAATGTGTGAATGAATGAAAGAAGTTTTGAATGAATGAATGAGCGAATGAATTAATATTTATTTATATCGTAAATGTGAACGTGTATTCTTCAAAATTATGATCATAACATTATTAATAATTAATAAATTATGGCTGATACATGAAGGTAATGCAACGAATGCAATAAATTGTTCTTTACAGCACAAGTCGAATTAAATTAAAATCACTCAATGATCCATTCGTCCATACACTCACACACCCATCCATTCATTAATTAATTCATTCATACATTCACTCGCAATTTAAATTAATACACATACAATTACAACAGTCAGTAGATATTTACATAATCTATATTCAGATTTTAAACTAAATAACACACAGGTGCACACGCACGCACACACACATACATAACAAACATCACATACATATCCATACACATATGCATAAAACAACATATACGTATATACATTTGTAATCACCGGTGTAGCAATTGTTCTTGGCGAACGAACGAACGAACTAAAACAACATTAGGATGAGCAAATGAAATGAAAACAGTCAAACAGATGGATGGAAGGATAAGTAAATGAAAGAAAGAACGAAAGTAAACGAATGGGTGAATGAGTGGACGAGTGGACTAAATGAAAAATAAATAAGTGATAGATAGAGGACAAAAATGAATTAAAAAAATGAATGGATGAATGAATGAAAAGAAGGACGGGTGAACGAGTGAACGGCTGAAACCCTGATGGAAAGAACACTGCATTCTAACAAGAACATCATATCTGGTTCGTGGCTTGATTCGAAATCGAACACAAAACACTGGCACACAAACATTCACACACATAAACCGACAACAATTACACAAACCTTAAAAACACACATACGCACATACACCCACACAAACATATAAACAAACATACACATACATACATACACTAACCCTAACCCCGGTCAAAATTCAAACAAAAAAAAATACATGAAAAAATAAGCATGGTTGAGTAAATGAGCGAATGAATGAATGAATGAATGAATTAGCAAAACCCTGAAACGAACGATTTAAACCAAACAAAAAATAATAAAAACAACAATTAAATAACAAAAAATAAATAATAATAATCATAAAAACCATTATACAACATGGTGAAATTAAAACATTAAAAAGAACCGATAAGAAGGTAAAAGAGGTAGAAGCAAGACTATATATATATATATATATATATATATATATATATATATATATATATATAGATATCAATCAATAAATATATATATATATATATATATGCGCAGACATAAACACACGCACACACGTATACACACATACAAACACGAAAACATACTTAGGCACCTTTGAACGAGAACATACATTACATACAAACACACAAACAATACATACAAACATATACACATACATACATGCATGCATAACGCAGTTAAGAGCAAATAAATTAATTGTGATGAACAAGTTATATAATACTAAAAAGACAACAGGCCTCTCTCTTTCTCTCTCTCTCTCTCTCTTTCTCTCTTTCTTTCTTTCTCTCTATGTGTGTGGTGTGTGTTGTGTAGTGTGTTTGTGGTGTGTGTGTGTGTGAGTGTGTGTCTGTCACACAATAAGAAATAATAAGAACAGTTTAAAACGTACGGAGCCAACAAAAACAACAGATGAACCAACGGCAAAAAACTGAATA